TTCTCGCATTCTCGTAAATCACAGGGGTTCTCGTTTGAACCCTTCCCTATATATATATATATATATATATATATATATATATATATGATTATTAGAAGATTCGTGTTTTTTTTTATTTTTCTAGATTTCCGTGGATGTGACCCCACTTTCCTAGTAAATAATTAAATTAGTTTTCGTCGTTATCCGACGAAGCATTCACACTAGTATTTTATTGTTGTTGATTCCAATGTACAACTCGTGCTACATATTGTACAACTTATAATAGCTTGATTGTCTATAATTGCTAATTATGCCATTTAAACGCTCAACAACTCCTCGCGGCACTATATAAGTACCAATCCTTCACCGGTATGTTATATCCCATAACTCAGCCGGAAAGTAGGTGTTGCTGCGATTGAATCGGAAAATATGGCGGACGAAGTGAAGTTGTATGCTGTTGGAGGAAGTCCATTTGTCTGCAGAGTCAAAATTGCTTTGAATCTCAAGGGAATCGAGTATGAAAACTTCGAAGAAGATCTGAGTAACAAGAGTGCCGACCTTCTCAAGTACAATCCGGTTCATAAGAAGGTACCGGTGCTGGTCCACAACGGAAAGTCGATCTCGGAATCTCTTGTGATCGTTGAATACATTGATGATGTCTGGAAAGGAGTTCCGCTTTTGCCACAGGATCCTTATGAGAAGGCTGTTGCTCGATTTTGGGCGAAATTCATTGACGAAAAGGTAATGATTTCATTTTCTCTCTTAATCCTGATTAATGATACTGGTTTTTATGGTTATGCAATGTAGTTCATGGTTGATTTACACAGGGCACTATAAATAGGGTTCAATTCGTGCTTAACTACCTTGATATTTAGCAAGCTTAGGGCACTATAAAGGTTCCACAAGGTATAACTAAAGGATTGATTCCATTTTCAGGTTTTTGCAGCCACAATCTTGCTTTGAAATGCGAAAACTATGCCAAAACACTTCACTAAGTTGTGCATTTTTGTGTCATGTCCGAGTTATATGCATTATTAACGAAGAACAAGTCAATGAAGTGACTTAGTCGGAATATAGTATTTGACTCTCTCAAACTAATAACTATGCATTAACTCTACCTTGGATTGCGAAGATGTGGGGACCTTGCATTCTTAGCATCTTTGACTTTGTTAATTTCTGCTCACTTTTTAATGTTTCACCTAATCCTGTGATATCATCTTAAATACTTTCTAATTACTTTTTATTCTATGGGTGGAGAAGCACAAAAAAAGCACAACCTTGAACCCTGATCGAGGCTCGAGTCCGGCCTGAAAAAGCCTGGGACTGATGAGCTTGAAATCCAGTCCAGTCAGCCTCAAAAGCCCGATCAAGCTGAAATTTTGAGGACAGACACGATCCTAAGTCCAGACCAAAAAGCCCTGTTCTGGTTAAGCCCAAAAAGCCGGGCTTGAGAAACCCCGGTCGTGCCCTTTTTCAACCCAAAAGCCTGGCTGGGCACGATCTGTTTCAGCCTGGGCCTTTTTATTTGCTCACTGAAAACGGGTTTGGAAGACATGGGGCCCGGGTCACTAGCATTTCTATTCAAGGGTGCTGCTATACTTGATGCTTTTGTGAAACAAATCTTAGGGTGACATATTGATATATTGAATATGTAAAAAAGATTGTTTGACATATGTGACTTGTGAATGAAGAATTGATAAGGGTGGTTTGCTTAACATATACGTGGTCCACTATTGTTTGAATCCCTTTGAATCAAGTTATAACATTGAAAATGTAAACTAAGTGTTTAATATTAATGTACATAACCGAGGAAAGTTTGGTGTGCGAAAGAGGATCTGCCCAAATCTTTTTTCTAAACGATGACTGATTTCGATAATATGCTTTGTTCAGTTTATTCCTGCAATATTCAAGGCTCTTAGCAGCAATGGAGACGAGCAGGCCATTGCAGAAGCT